AATGAGCTATCTTCATGGAACAGCTCCAATACACTTTGCATGAGATAAAATCAGAAGTTTTAAGGAACAAGGAGTCTCTTTTTACAAAGTTACCTTTGCAGAGTAAAACACATTTTGAGAGTTTTCACCCTATCTACCAGCATCAAGGAAACCAGTCCATTCCCCCCTCCCCTCCTCCAACCAGTGCCCTCTAGAATTTAGGCAGGCTGCTGTTTCCAGATAAAACAAGAAAAACCTGACTGAGCATGACACAGCATAAGAAATGGAGCTTTTGTGAACTCAGGTGCTATGTATCCAAAATGACACAGGCTAGAGGAAAAAAAAAGATGCACAAACCTCAGTTGCACCAGGCAAGATCCTCCCCCTCAGTGAAGCTGCATCAGGCCTATTAAAATATGCTTAAATATTATCTCCAAAGAGGATTAAAGTGTATCAGTGTAATTATCTGTCCACAGAGCTTGGTGCTATTGTTTGAGCAGAAAATGATTTAAGTGCTTACTGGTGGAAATGGTGTGCAGGGCAAGCCTCAGGCTACTTCCCACTGCAGCTCTGTCTTCCATTTCTATTTGTGGGCAACAGAAAGCTGCTGTTGCCATCGATGGAGAGAACCACCAGTTTCAAAAGCATCCCATAATACTTCTCCAAGCAGATGGACTTGATTTCAGAAGGAACAAGGGACACCACCACTGCTCATAAGTACTCCTGTAACAACTGCTGTGTATCAAAGAAAGGTGAGTCTTGCCCAAATTCCAGTTGATTATTCTTTACTAATCATCTGCTTATTAAGACATACCTCAATTAACAACCTCTCTCTTCAGCCTGGGGATACATCCAGTGATGGCAGAGCACTATATGCCCATTAGTCCATGGCAGTAGGCTGTGATAAGAGAAACTAATCCAGTTATTCTTGCAGCAACATGAGGAAGACATCAGGCTCCTTTAAAAGGTATATTTTATTTACTTACCTGTCTTGGTAAGCAGGTAAAGTTATTTAAAGTTTCTTTGGATGTTAGAAGAGTCCTGGGCCCCTTTTTGGTACTTTGAACAATCAACTCCTCCATACAAATGAAAATATTAATAAGCTTTTTAAAGGGCTGAAGGAAAGAGAGCTGGGCAGGGAAAGCAAAGTGGTGAAAACAAAAGAGCTGGCACACAAGCTGGCAGGAATTTCAACTTGACATTCAGCATATCAAAATCTTAGTATCAACATCTCAGTCATGTAAGTTCTGGTGCTACATATGCTTACAATGTATTTAGATTCAAATAAAAGTAAATAAAGGCATCACTAGATACTAAATAAGTCAGGAAAGATTGCCAAGATCAAAAGAACACCTCTAGTAGGGGTTATCAGCTGTGAGAGTTGAGATGCAAAGGCCCAAGTCAGCAACTTTCCCCTTCAATGGGACACCCTGGCAGCCTCTCACCCAGGGAGGAGGACACAGGAAGACTTGGCAGCAAGAACCAACTGGTTTTCCACGAGTTCCTCTCTGTGTGCCCCTCTGCTGGGTCCCAAATATCAAGATACAAATCTCAGAATGGAACCCACAACAAAAAGGCAAGAGCACCTCCACTGAAATAACTGGAAGGGGCATGGCACAAAAACTCCAGGTAGGGGCTTGATGCAGACTGGAAGAATCTCTGCTTTGTGAGAAACATTTAATTCCACACAATGAATTACAAGAGGACAGATTTACAGAGTAATAACCATAACAGACTGTTCAAAAAGGAAGATGATTTTCACTGGCTGCAGTACCAGCTAAGGTTCCCCAAAGCAATACCTGGTAGAGCAGTAGAAAAGTACAATTCAGTCTTCTTGCAGTACTCCAAATGAGCAGTATCAAAGAATTTTGTATTTTCAAATCTTTAAGAAAAGAGTCAATACAGTATCAATCACTTTGGCATGGGATATTTTCCAAGGAGCTTAAAACCTCTTCAGATCACTAAGCTGAACTACTTCCCAGGCAACTCCCTGGTCCCTCGCTGTCACTGCTCATCATTCTTCCATGATAAAGGCTCTGGGAGCTACTTTCTTCCCCAAGTTTTGGGATACCAAGAACCTGTACAATTGGTTAGTGGCACAACATTAAATCTACCACTTCATACTGTACTCTCAGCTGAGATGTCCATGCATGAATTATGCCCTAAGACTAAAATAACTTTTCCAACCTAGTCAATGCATTGTCCGAGCTATAAACTCTCATCTTCCTCCCCTCTCCCTATCCTCCCTACCCAGATAAATCCATTTTTAGCTAAAATTCACCCCAATATGCTCACAGGTGTACTAGAAGAGACTGAGGAATCAATCAAGGTACCCACGGTGAAGCCAAATACTTATAAACACATTAAGGCAGGTTTCACATCATTTCATTTTTGGACACAAAAATGCTGGTCACTTCACTGCACATGCAAATAAGAAAGATTTAATACTTAATAAAAAGCTTTAAATTTGTTTTTTTAGATATCAATTATAGAAAAATCAACCTTTTTTTTTTCCTTTCTTGTTTTAAAAGAGGTCAGAACATTACTGCACAGGAAAGCAGATGTGTAGACACACCTATTGGAATGGATCCCCTTCCCTCCACACACGCAGAAACAGAGGTCAGGTTCTTGGCACCAGAAGAGAAAGGAGGAAATTTTCCTCATTGTCAGTCAGAAATGAGTCATCCTTCCATTCTGAGTTGAGTTGAGAAGGTCCTTCTGACCAGACTTCAACCAAAGCAAAATATACCACAGAGCAGGTATATCTATCTTCAAAACTCTTGTTTGGCTCTGCTCAGACACACACACACACACAACTCTGCATCACAAACGTGCATGGGAGTGTGGTCAGTGTGGTGCTGGAACTAACTACAAAACCCACTGCCATTGATGGAAGGTTAATTCCTCAAGTGTAACTGCCCCTATGGATCAAAACCTCAGGTGGAAGAGGCACTGGCAGTTCATCTCTGAGAAGACACTTCCAAGACCAATGTGGTCTTGCGAAGAGAAGGAAATTCAGTGACCTGGAGGGGCACGTGGAATGACAATCCACAACCTCCAGTGACCTCCCTACAGTCTGGTACAAACAGGCAGCCTACAGCAGAGCAGCCAAGGAGTGAAACAGCATCTCTCACACTTGTGTAGAGAGAAGATTGTTTCCACGGGTCATTGGTAAAAGTACTTGGATAGAAAAAGCTTAAAAAAATGTATCCTCTATCACTGACCCACAACAATAACAAAAAAAAAAGGACAGGAAATTTGGTTCCTAGTATTTTCCCCTCCCACCATTTTATATTCCTTTATTCCCTCCCACCCAATTACCCTACCCCTTTAGAAAAAAAGGAAGGGGAGTAGAGTTTTGTCAAGTTCCATCTTCAAAACTCCCCAGCAACTGAAGAACCATCAGCTTCTCGACGTTTCCTGAAGTGGAGATCAAAATGCTCACAGGTACAGGTGGATTGTTGGTGCAATTCACTCGGCAGACACTCTTGGCTTTGTAAATAGTTGTGCTGACCCTGCTGATAGGGTTTATACTGGGAATTCTTAGATGGAACTCCCTAGAAGAAAGAAAAAAAAGACCTTTTAAGTCAGTAAGAACTTTGTCCATCTGCCCAGCCAATGAGCCCCTAAAAGAACAAAGCACCATGGCCATAACATTTCCATTTATCTCCTGTTTTTACACCTACAGCAGACAGTTGGTTTTAGTTCTTTGCTGTTGCCAGACCTTTGTAGTAGAAAGGAATGCATGATATTCACTGTCCAAATAAAGCTACTGTCAGTGATGGGGTAAAGCAGGAGAATGTAGAGAGATATCAGATGGTATCTCCCAAAGGCCAAAGAGATTTCATGTTATAATCAACCTTCCAGCTTGAAGGATTGCCCAACACAAATCACTCTTCCTTCTACCTGAAATACAGCTGCCACTCCCTCCAAAGGGGCTCTTTGTTTGCTATTCACCCTAAAATTTCCCTTTTTTCCCCCTCCACATTCTTGATTCTTGCCTCTTGGGCTCCCAGTGTACATCACAAAGCACTCAGTGTATTGTCTATCCTACTTCAGTGCCAGAACATCAACTGTTTTTAGAGGCTAAAACTTAAAAATGATCAAAATGAAAATCAGTGAGTTCTGTTTTATCTCACTGCTTGAGCATCACTGACAGTACAGGTGGTGCTGCTGCCCAAGGATACATCAGAGAGACCTGGGAGGGAAAAAGCTGCTGCATGGCATGGGGGCACCCTCCCCAAACTACAACATTTAAGGGAACTCCTGTTGCTGTATCTTCATTTGGCCTTACAGAACTTTCCTCTTGATTGCTATACAGTAGTGCTGCTGCATTATTCAGAGTTATTTTATTTTTTTAAAGAAAAGCTAGTTAAAACCTTAAATTTAAAATTCCAGTGCACGAGTACAAGCCAGAGACACCCTTGAAAGCAAGAAGCCAGCCCTTTGTGAAAGCTTTTAAGGGATGTATCATGTGAAGTCACATTTCTGTGAATCCTGTCATTACTACTGCTACAGCATCTTAAACTTTTCTGATGTTTCCAGATTTTGAATGCAAACATTCTCTCTGTTACTTGCAGTTTATCAGTTCCCACCACATAAAAAGTTTTTTGGGTAAACTTCCCTCTTTTGATGGTCAGGTTATCTTCCTGCCTATCATAGGAAGTTAAGAAATAAGTAGAGGGAAAAACTGACATCACAAGACAAGGACATTTTTAAGAACTGATCCATTTTGCAGACAGAATCCTCCAAGTGCTCACGTGCATGTTCTGTGGATACATTTAACCCATCTGACACAGGCACAAGGCCCAGCACAGTCCCCCACAATGTAAGCACTCACCAGACCACACACACACCCCCAAAATACAGGATTTCCTCCTGGAAATAGGGCCACTACCCCTTTAAAAGTGCATGCTAAAAAGCAAAGATTTATCAACACAGAGTAACATTCCCACTGAAAACACTTCTGCTTTCAATTAAGTAGAGCTAAGGTGAGGCAGGATGCTGTCACATTACCTGGACTATACATTCTCCATCTCCTGGTCATGGTCCTGGTCCTCCTCTTCCTCTTCCTCCTCTCCTTCTTCCTCACCTCCTACTTTCTCTGAAGGAGCTTCCCCATCTCTTGCTATTTCCTCGACGTGGGCAAGCATGTCAGCCATCAGGGCTTCCTCCAGCCTCTTCCTCACCTGCTGCACCAGCTCCTCTTGCTTCCTGCCACAGATCAATTAACACTGACATTAATCCTCAAATGCCTCTTTCAAGGCAACTTTAAATCCCTCACACATGAGGCTGGGCAGACAAGCATGGCTTTGAAAAAGCCCCTGCAAGAACCACACAGGGAAAAAATAAATTGCCTGGCATTATACTTTCAGGGAAGAGGAAAGAAACACTTTAAAAAGCTGCCCAGTGTCTTCTCTTAAAAGTTCTTAGTATTGATTATACCATTTTTAATTCTGGTTGAAATTTGCCTCATCTAGCAGCTGACTGAAGACTCTTTAATTCCTAGTACTAATTTAATCAAGAAATCAGCCTCCCCTGCTCAGATTTCCCAAAATGACACTGGAGAAAATTAAGCTTCTGACCATTTCAATCTTTTGGCTTATTCTATTTTTTTTTTTGAGTCACCACCTTAAATTTTACAGCTCCTTTTCTCTCCAAGTCATAGTCAAGATGTGAACAAAACTCAAAGGCCTCATGGGGCTCCTGTTTCATCTCAGCCACAGGAACTCATGAAGTCCTGAACAGACCATTTTTTCCTGGGCATTCATGTACAAATCAAGTACAAAATTCTGTGATTTAAAAAGATTTGTCAGTCACAACAAGTACCACCTTTAATTGCTGCTAATTAATGCAATGTAGCACCATTTCAGGCCCATGTCTTTGGTATATTTAGTTCTCTATCAAGTGCTTAACACTGAATTTGACCAGTCTTGATTTAGTAATGTAATTCATTAGTGAAATCAGCTATACCTAAATAAATTCCATCCTGTTGGCTGCCACCACAGCTGTTAGTGCTTTTATTTGCTCCTGTGCTGACACAGGGTGAAGTGAAGTGAATCCAATTCCACTGTGCAGGATTTCTCCAATCCCTTCTTTGCTCAGAGGTGCCTTAATCAAGGTTACTCCAAATTCGACACCTTTTTCAATAAAAGGAGATGTAGTCTGACATGAGAAACAAAGAAGAACCTGACATCTCAGAGAGCTGAGCATGCTCAAAATGAAAAAATAATGAGCTTTAAGTACATGCCTCTGTGTGTAGCAATTTTTTTTCTGCTATACTGTTAAAGAAAGATTAAAATGAATTCAACAAGCCACAGTGCTCCATCAGACATTTAAACTTGCCATGGAAAGTAAAAAAAAAACAAGGGGAGGGAACCCAGCACTGTTTTAGCAGAAGAAACCTTGTTCCAATTTGAACTGAGTGATACATGGATTGAGTGCATCCTCAGGGAGTCTGCAGATGACACCAAGCTCTGTGGTACATGTATGCTGGAGGGAAGGGATCCATCCAGAAGGACTTTGACAGGCTGGAGAAGTGGGCCCAGGCCAACCTCATGAAGATCAACAAGGCCAAGTGCAAGTTCCTGCACCTGGGTCAGGGCAATCCCAAGCACAAAGAGCAGCCCAGAAAGCTCCAACCCTATCCTGGGCTGCAGCAGAAGCAGCAGGGCCAGCAAGCTGAAGGAGGTGATTCTGCCCCCCTACTCTGCCCTGCCCCACCTGGAGTCCTGTGTCCAGGTCTGGAGCTCCCAACACAAGGAGGACATGGACCTGTTGAAGCAGGTCCAGGAGACCACAAAGCTGATCCAAGGACTGGAATCCCTCTGCTGGGAGGCCAGCCTGAGAGCTGGGGTTGTTCAGTCTGGAGAAGGCTCCAGGGAGAACTTACTGAGGCCTTCCAGCATCTGAAAGGGGCCTACAAGAAAGCTGGGGAGGGACATTTTACAAGGGTGGGTAGTGACAGGATGAGGGGGAATAGACTGGAAAAGGGGAGATTTTGATTAGAAATGAAGTTCTTCACTCTGAGGATGGGGAGACACTGGCCCAGGTTGCCCAGGGAAGCTGTGGATGCTCCATCCCTGGAGGTGTTCAGGATCAGGCTGGATGGGACTTGGAGCAACCTGGTGTGGTGGGAGGTGTCCCTGCCCATGGCAGAGGGGGTGGAACCAGATGATCTTTAAGGTCCCTTCCAACCCAACCCATTCTGTGATTTCTAGTTAATACCTAATATCTTCATCTGTCACCATGAATGCTTTGCAGAGGGGCTGTGAGGTGTTGAGCCAGACTCCAGGGTTCTTCTCCACAGCAGCAGACAGCTGGCCAGTGATGGGCATGGTGCTAGTGTGCAGAGCACTAGCTATGGCAGAGAGAAGGGTTTCATCAGTGCAGCCAGGTCCAACCCCTGCCAGTGGGAGGAAAAACCAATCATCAACACTGCACAAGACAAAGAGCAGCAAATCAGGACAACAGGCAGCATGTAAACTTGAATGACAAAGGACAGACTGTCATTTAGGAAGCTAACACAACATAAACCTCAGTCCTAAACACTTCTAACAGCACCTGCACAACTCTCTCCAAGGTTATTTCAACCAAATTTAAACATAAAAACCCCACCAACCCAAACTGGGAATGGAAGCTGGTTCCGTTCTGCTTCTGGAAAATGAACAATAAAAAGACCAAATAGCTTTGCTTCAGTATCTCCTCTGGACAGAAGGGCACTGAGCCTTCCAGCCAGAGCACTAACAGCTCCTTGGTTCACAGCACTAAGGAGTGCTGCAGAACCAAGAGGTCAAACACAAAACCTTCTGATTGGGATCAAAATGCCACCCGTGGAGGTAAGGGCAGACTCTGATTACCTTGTAAACCTTTTGGAAGGTCCATTGTTTTCACCAGCTCCTCTGCAATGTCAAAAGCACTCAGTCCACTTAATTTCTTCTCCCAGAAGAGCTGACATCAAAGAAAGTGTTTATTGGCACAAAACAGAAACGGAATTGACAACTGCACAAAGCACCTGCCTGCTGTCTGGGGAGGGAAGAACAGCTCTGCAGCCAGGGCTGGTGGATTGACCACAGGAGGGATTCTCCTGAGAGCTGGGAACAACCCCCCACCACCAACCAGACCCACAGCCACCCTGTCCTGCCTTGCTGCCTTGCAAAGGGACTGGTATTTCACTGCTTCTGAGCTGGAAGAGCAAGGCAAGGCTTGCTGGCTTCCAGGGAAGCACACATTGTGTGGGACAGAGATTTTTTCACACTCCTCTTCCTCTTCTGCCATCTCACACATAGCATGGAAGTCAGGAAATTAAAGATCTGCACCCATGCTCTTCCCATTATTTTATTCCTCTCCAGCAGTTTGAGAACAACCCTGTCCAGTCCTTTGCTGGATTTGGAATCATGAGTTCTCCTCAAGGTTAAGCACACATGAAGGCTGGGTGGGAAGTCAGATCCACCAAGATCCACCTTCAACTCTCCATCTAGGTGTCTAAGGATGATCCATGAATAGCTGGAGTACCATTTGTCTTGCAAGAAATTTCATCTAGGTTTTGAGAAACTAAGAATTTACCCCCAACACTCTACACATCCCCTTATATTTTAAGCTTATATTTTAAAGCTGTAATTTAATAGACTCTTAGATTTATAATTCAGTGAAAGACATGAGAAACAGCAAATTTGCCCTATTCTATGCTGTATGAAAGAAAATAGATAAAACAATGTGTATATATATTATACATACAGCATATACATTTTTTTTAATAAATACACAAACCTCTCTAAAGGACCCTCTCAGAAAACAGACTCCAGTGTTGCCACAGAAAAAGGAGTACATAAAGAACTGCACAGGTCCACTGACAGTGTCTGTGTGTCCCAGGCTGCTCCCACAGCATTCTCCTCCACAACAGGGATGCAAATCTACCCAGCTCCAAGCTTTGCATATCAACATCATCTCTTTAGTGTCCTCTTATGACCTCAGGAAGCCATGCTAAAACCCTCCAACCTTTTTAAAACACCACCAATAAAACCAACCCAACCCCATTTCAAACAGAACCTCACACACTTCAGAAAGGTAGTTTATATGTTTGTGGAAAAGGCTTTTGATTAGAAAGGTGGGGAACTTTTCAATAAAATTTAAAAATATCTTGTAATAATTTTTCTTATTGGAATGGTATGTTTTAATTCCATCAGACCTGCAAGAGTTTAAAACACACTGGGTTTGACAGCACCTGAACAGAGTAATCATAGAACGATAGAATTGTTTTGGTTGGAAAAGACCTTTAAGAAGATAAAGTCCAACCATTAACTGAACTCCACCAAGTCCACCACTGCCCCGTGTCCCTCACCCCACATCTCCACGGCTTGGAAACCCCTCCAGGGGTGGGGACTCCACCACTGCCCTGGGCAGCCTGGCACAGCCCTGGGCAACCCTCCAGGCCAAGAAATTGTTCCTCAGGGACAACCTCAACCTCCCCTGGGGCAACTTGAGGCCGTTTCCTCTTGTCCTGTCCCTTGTTCCTTGGGAGCAGAGCCCGACCCCCCCCTGGCTCCAGGCTCCTGTCAGGAGCTGTGCAGAGCCAGAAGGTCTCCCCTGAGCCTCCTTTGCTCCAGGCTCAGCACCCCCAGCTCCCTCAGCTGCTCCTCCCCACACTTGGCCTCTAGACCCTTCCCCAGCAGCTTCGTTGCCCTTCTCTGGCCACACTCCAGCCCCTCAAGGTCCCTCTTGGAGTGAGGGGCCCAAAACTGCCCCCAGGATCTGAGGTGTGGCCACCCCAGTGCCAAATCCAGGGGGTTGATCCCTGCCCTGGCTAATGAAGCTGAACATTTAGTTTGCAAAAGTTACAAAGGTGGACTCACTACAGGAAAGGATCCACAGGATCCCTGGCATGAGCTCTGCAGAGGCACCAGGCTGATCTTACCAGTGCTCAGCTTCAAAGCTACCCTTATCCCAGGCACACATTTTGCATCTTTTCACTAGATCAAATCAAGCTGAAAGATCTCCTTTAATTTTGGTGCATTCTCTTGTTTGCCAATACACAGTATGATAAGAAAGACATTTTGATTTGGTGTTAATAATGACATCCCATGTGAATTTATGGCCTTGTTCACACAGGTAGAGAGAATTACTAATGACATATGATGTGACAAAAAGGCCCATGCTGGGGGTACAATCACAAACCTGCTGTACTGATCAAGAATTTCTGCAAACAGAGCTCTTAAATAATTGGCACTTTTGGCAATTACAACACAAGTGCCCCAAAAGGGGTTATGATGTCTGCCTAAATTTGTAGGTATTATTTCAGCATTAAGGAAGCAGAGGTGTAACTACAGCAGACCTGTAACCTAACTGGATTGCAATCTTACCTACATGCTGGAGATGGGTTTTGTTCTGAATTTAAAGCTAGGAGCACTGTAACTTATCATTTATGAAACATCAGAGACTTCAAACTGCCACAGACTGTTTGTTCAGCATCACAAAGTGTGGTTTATTCTAGGACCCTCCCAGCAGCAAAACCAGGAGTTTCTTCATTCTGGAGAAGGCTGCCCTGAGCCAGGAGCCTCACCTGCCTGGGCTGGTCCACAGCCTTCTGAGGGTCACTCTTCACCTTATTGCTGGGGTGGTTTGTGATCTTTGTGACAGGCTGCTTGAAGATGGAGGCTGTCTGTCGGACAGGCAGGGCTGTGTTCAAATCAGGCTTGCCCTAAAAATTACAAACAAAAGGAAGGGAAAAAGATGACAAAAATCTTTGCCGTTTGCTAAAGTGCTGCTACAGCCCTAAAGATGGACAGCAGGGAGAAGAAGAGTTCATGGACTTCAGAACTTGTCTGATCTCAGGCTAGAGGAGTTAGACTGCTAAAAATGGACAACTAAATGCAAATCTTGCTTTACAAATCAAAGTTACACTTTTTTTTTCACTCTTTCACCTTCTGTTTCACAGACTAGCCTCCTATTATTCTAGTTATATCTGGTTATTGAATTATCTAGTTAATTCTAGTTATATAGGTATAGCCACATGCTGGTTTTATCCCAATTCTGACAGAATTTAGGGGTCAGAACACTGAGCCTGTGCTTGCACAAGCCACTTGTAGAGCCCTGAAATGGAAGATCTGGAGACAATCTTCATAATAATTAGGAAAAATACAAAGTGGGATTTAGAGACTGTTTTGTGAATCCAGAAACCATCCTGTTTACATCCAGTTGTGGATAGCAACAAATCAATACAGCTGGGATCTGGATCACTCTTTTTCCCTTCAGTTCTTCACAAAACTCAGAGCTTGTAGCAATCAAGTTGTCACTAAATGATTACATTTTATGTCACTGCAAACAGAGGGAGACCACTCCTCATCCCTGAGATCTAACAGGCAAGTCTTGAAATGGCTGTAGGACACACTTTGTTCTTGAGGATGCAGACACTGTGTCTGCTTAACATATTTATTCATGAGATGCAGAAAAGATGTATTCAGGACAAATAATTCTGAACCATCTGTGTGCTAATCCATTTATAAGCCCGTGATAACTGAACATTTATTGAAAGGTTTGGGCAGAATTTTTAGCTTATGAGATGGGTGTTAGCTGCTGGGGCCTTTGCAGCAAGGCTTGTTTCTTTTAAAATACCACTTCAGCACCTAGCTAGGCTGTACTTAAAAGGTTCCAATCATTCCCATGATGATTCTTGACTGGCTGACATATTTAGTAATTAAGCATCATGCTATTTTCCACATTTAATGTTTAGAGGCATACACATAACCTTTTGGGTTCTGAAAAAGCTTTTACCATCTGATGAAGATACTTCAGAAGGAATTGAGCCAATCTGTCCAGACAGGCAGTAGGATGTCACTGGAATCCTGACCATCCCAATTACCAGGTGCCAAACACAGGCTCCTTTATTTTGTTCCACAAATAGGCCTCACCAGCCCCTTGCCTCTTCAGCTTTTGGCCTGGGATGCATCCCCTCCTCAGAGCAACTCCAAAGCTAAGATATCAGCACAGACAGCTTCAGGGAGTCTCTTGCAGGAGGCTGTGTTACCCCACCTTCCTGCTGCCCCATGCCACCCTCCCCTCCTCCCCCAAACCAGAAGGGAGCTGCTGCACCTCCATGGAGTCAGCTGGAGATGTGAGGCTCTGGAGAAGGTGTCTCCAGCCTTTCTGTACAGGAGATTCAGCAGCATCACAATACTCTTCCACAGTCTCATTACCCTGGAAGAATCAGTGAAGGGCAGCACTTGTCCAGCACCCCACAGCAGAGCTGATGTTCATAGAATCATAGGG